TGTCTTGTAAATTACTCATGTTTTAGAATCTAATTATTAATCTAAATATCTCGTCCTCATTATCAGCCTCTGTCTTCGTCTTCGTCTTCGTCTTCGTCCTCGTCTTCGTCTTCGTCCTCGTCTTCGTCTTCGTCCTCGTCTTCTTTAAACTTCCTTTTTATCAGATTGAATGGACTCTCCTGTTCACAACCCCACAAGAAAGGCTTATCTTTCTTCATTAAATCAGTGAGGGGCATAACAGCTGAACCAAACCCTTTGATAAATCTTCGGTAGAAATTTAAGAAACCAATGAAGCGGGAAAGTTCTTTACAGTTTTCGGGAGCTGGCCAGGACATAATCGACTCCAGCTTGCGTGGGTCCATCTTGATACCTTCGGTGGTGACTATGAGGCCTAGAAACTTGACAGACTTTGCATGAAAATCACATTTGTTAATATCTATTTGAAGACCAGCTTCTTGAAGTCTAGCTAGGACTTTCTTAACGTGAGTTACGTGTTCCTCAAGAGATTGGCTGAAAATTAATATGTCATCAATATAGGCTGTACAGAATTCATCCAGATAACCCTTGAGTGTGTCATTAATATAATTCTGGAAGGAGCTCGGTGCATTCGCCAACCCAAAAGGCATGACTAAGTATTCATAGAGACCAAAGCGCGAGCGGAAAGCTGTCAGATATTCGTCTCCCTTAGCAATACGTATTCTATTAAAAGTTGAAATAACGTCTAGTTTGGAGAAGTATTTTGCCTTTCCTAAAAGGCTCAAAGTTTCATGAATGCGCGGGATTGGGTATCTATTTTTGATCGTGAGGTCGTTTAATGCTCGGTAATCCACACAAAATCGAAGTCCGCCCCCTGGCTTTTTCACAAATAAAACAGGAGAAGATGCTGGAGAAGAGCTTGGTCGAATGAAGCCTTTTTGAAGATTTTCCTTAATATACTTCTGTAAGACAAGAAGTTCTTCGCGAGACATGCCATATAAAGGACCCCATGGAGCTTCAGAGCCTGGTTTTAAAATTATTCGATGGTCACTGGGTCTATGAGGTGGAAGTTTGTCGGCTTCTTCCCGTGAAAACACAGAGAGGAAATCATGGTACTCCACAGGAAGTAGTTTAGCCGGGTCTACTATTGGTTTGTCCTTTAAAGCTTCATTTATATCATCTTAACTGACTGCCAAAATAGAATGATCCTCGCAGGTGGCAGACTCTTGAAAGGACTTCAGGTCGCAGGCTTCAATTGTTAAAGGCGCTCGATGGTTTTTGGCTGAAACGTTGGCAGACTTGCGTTGAGAAACATCCTCCGGATCAATAGCATTTGTCGTTGAAGGAAAGTAGGTCGAGTGCTTTCTACAGGCAGGATGATCGAATAAAATAGTATTCTCAGACCAGAACACTTTCGGATTATGCAACTGTAGCCAGGGCAGGCCAAGAACAATATCAAAATGAGCAAGAGTTGTAACAAATAGCAAAATATTTTCGAAATGACCTTCAATCAATAATGTAGTTTTTGCTAAGTGGGTAATCTTGCCAGCACAGGATTCGGTGCCATCAAAAACCTTAAGGGATCGAGGTACATTCAAAGGGGTCAACGTTAGATTGTTTAAATGTGCAAATTTGGTATCAACAAATCCATAAGCAGATGCACCACTATCAATCAATGCGAGGGAAGGTATCGGTTTAGCATCCCGATCGTGTGCAACACACTTGATTACAAAATGTCGTGAACTATCCCATGATCCCCCGTGGATTGCTGCTGACAAAAGCTCTAATGTCGGTAATTTTTTGTTTGCAGGAGATTTCGAAATGCTTGATTTGAAGTTATCTTTGGTACTAAATTGACCAGTGTTGTCTAGGTGGCTAAGATTCTTCGATAGGTACGGTTTCACAGGACAGGAATTAATTACATGCCCAAAATTACCACAATAAAGACATAATTGGTGCTGAAGACGTCGAGTTTTCTCTTGAGTTGTCAGGTGTCCATGAATTTTCGGATTTTTAAGGGTCATATTGGTAGTTGGTTGCGAAATTTTCGGGATGTGCTGTAGGTTACTCGAGTCCATGGGTTGTCTAACAGTTGATTGGGATACTGCACTCAAGTAAGAGTTCTGGTAGTTCTCGATATCATGAAGACGGGCCACAAGTTCTTCAAAATCAATTCTCTCTAGATGTCAGGAACTGAGGATAGAGCGTTTACCGGGTTACAATGGTTGCTATGGGTTACAAATGAAGTAATAGACTAGCAGCAGGCGCACCCCTTGAAGCCTTAGTTGCTCTGGTTACTATGATGTATATATGGGTTGGGTAGAGCCGATGTAGAGGGCCACGTCTTGTTTTCCGTCTTCCATTGACCTTGTCTCTTGTCCTAGTTTCTCTTGTCCCTTGTCCTCAGTTATAGCTAGAATCCCGAATTAATACCTTAGTCTATGACAAATCTTGTCAGATATCACTCGCACTTCTAAGTTATCTATAAAACACAACCCCTGGTGCCCTCGAGTTTGACACTAGACCTCTTTCATAAATCAAGGCTTCTTTAAGATTTAGATTACAGTTGTGAAGGACGAGACCTCGGAGAAACACTGAATTTGGTTTGTATCTAGCAATTGATGCATCGCGTCTAATCTCGGAAATCCAGACAGAAAAGGCCTTGTTCCCTTGCTTAGTTGAATGTAGTCGCTCTGAAGCATCACGAGCTAGATTAGGATCGTGAAAAACTCTATATAAAACTTGTATCATCTCATCCATTGAAGAGAAGGTAAGGATTCCGTTCTTTACCCATGAATGAAGATAAGCTTGACATTGGTAACTCAGGCGAGAATAAACATAAGTCATCCGTGATGATTCATTTGGAAAATAGTCATGATTGACATTCAACTTCATTTGCACGCTATTTACCCAGGTCTCAAATTCATCTTTAATTCCTGTGAATATAGGAGGATCTGGAATTTTGGTAGTTTTAGCTGGGTTTGAAAATAGTCCACAACCCTTCATATTTTGTAGTTCCTTATTGATTTCTCTTAGCATATCTCGAAAAGTTTCAAGTTCAGTAGACGTGTGTGTAGTTTCTTCCAGGAGGCTTGCCATATTCAAGGCTTCATGTGTTATAGGTGACTTCTTTGGTAATGTTGCAAGATTTTTATTTTTAGTGCTTTTTGTAATGTCACGGACGAGGATGAAGACTAGGACGGAGACGGAGACGGAGACGGAGACGAGGACGAAGACGAGGACGAAGACGAAGACGAAGACGAAGACGAAGACAGAGGCTGATAATGAGGGCGAGATATTTAGATTAATAATTAGATTCTAAAACATGAGTAATTTACAAGACAAAAAGCTACAGTACACATCCAGTCCTAGAGCTTCCTTAAGTACACGAGCTTCAATACTATAACCAAGGGTGTGGTAGTTTACAGCCATAACACAGTAACTAACTAGTACTCTAAATGGCAACTGTTGCTATCACAACACTGTAACCATTACAATACCTAAATTGTGTTATTGTATGCACGTCATAACTCGGTTGCCTGGGTGCGACACGACATCCCAGTGATGTTTTGTGACAGTACTAAGGGGGGGAGGATGTCACAGGAAGGAGGGTAGCCGGGGAGAATGGAGTATTCTCAGGTAGGCTAGGAGGGGAGCTTAAACGCGACGCTGAGGAGGACATAAAGGACAGGAGCAGTCGTAGGCAGATTAGCTTCCCAAGGAAAAATTATCAATTCCTATTGAGTTAACGTCTTTCAAGTACTTCTGAATTCTTTAAACCCTTTACAGGTACATGTAGTAGGGCACAGATAGAGATCACCCATTGGTAATGATAATGAACCGTTTATTACGGCAAATATCATCTCGCACATGTAGATAAACATTCATATGCTTGGACAGGTTATATTCTATGTTATGACAACAATTAAATTATATTTAATAATACTTGATAGCCCACAAGTCTTTGAACCCACTCCATATGATCAACCTCGATGTTGCTTTTGCCACCCCATTGCATCCGCTAATTAACTTATCCTAACACGCTAGTGTTAACTCCTCCTTTTGGCCATGTGCTTTCGGAATAACACCCTTGACTTCGAACTCAAAGCACGCCTGTAATCTGTATCACAGAATGCCTGTCAAGTCGTAAAGTCTGGGTGTAAGTTGGTTTTCAATTCCCTATCCAAAAACTCCTTAATAATACAAATACGCTAATGCAAGTCTGCCTAAGTAAACGACCATGATATGTCAGGGCATCACCTGACCTGGATACACAGCCATATGAGAATACTCCTTTCTCCCGGCTATCTTCCTTAGCTCCCCTTTAGTCTATCCAGGAGTGTCACAGATCGGCTTTCCCACGAGAAAAACAGCCTGCTTGTCACTACCATTGTGCCATGGGCTAATGCTGAGATGCTGCGCTTAGTCTGGTCAACCAAGTCAGGAACTTCCCTAGTAACATAGTCAATGCGTTGCGATGGTTACAATGTTATGATGGCAACAGTTACTAATCAACATAAGCAATCAGTTGCTGTGTTATAGCTGTAGACTACCATACCCCTGATTGTAGTAGCCGCTCTTGAGTACTTAAGGAAGATCTAGGATTGGATTTGTTATGTAGCTTTTTGTCTTGTAATTATTCTAGACTTCAGATTGATCCGATTATTATAAGCTTTACCTTATACCCCGATTCTGTCCCGTTCCGCCTCCGTCCCGTTCCGTCTCCGTCTTGTCTCGCCCTCGTCCCGTTCCGATCACATCCTGTCCCGACTCCGTCCTGTTCCGACCCTTGACCTCCGTACTAGCCAACGAGCCTAACAAGGAGCGTTGCTCTGCCATTACCTTACCTCAGAGACGGAGTGGTCCTAGTGACCAGTCCCAATCCGGGCAAAGCCCGTCACATAAATTAAATAATATTTGCCAGCCAATGCATGTTTAATGTTGATAAGAATTATGAAAGAGTTGAAGATATTCATACCACCAATCTTTTCGATGGTTCCGTTAACAGCACTGATGAACGGATTTTACAGGTCATCGGAACTTTCGTCTGTGCCAAACTGGTCAATATCCTGTTCAAAAAATATTTTACGCAAGTTTCTGGCAAGTTTCTTGACAATATCAAAGGCTGATGAGAAATAACCAAGTATTATTGCATTAAAATTTTGAATAATATCAGATAGCTTCAACTCGTAGTTGGATCTTGCACACTCAGTAAACCATTGTTCCAAGCGTGCCGGTTCACTCTTCGAATCACGACCATAACACATGGATCCCACGACTAAGAGGTAGGAAAAGGATTCCAGATCATGCCGATAGTTCTGCGGAAGCGTGAATTTATTTTCACAGATATTCCACAGAAGCTCCAGCGCTATGTACTTCATGGTTTCGGTTATGGCAATCACTTCATCCATTCTTCTACTGCTCTCGATCAGCGATGAAATATCCAGATCAATCAGTATTCCCTCCGTGGCTCCCTCGTCGTTGGGACGTCTCATAATTATGTTGCCTTCCGAGACGTCACCGTGAAGAAGCCTCGCCTGGTCACGAAGCCGCCGATGCGCAAGGATAGCATCTCGAATGCCCACAAGGAATTCTCGAGCAGATCTGCAGGACTGGAGGGGTCTTCCGAATGGTGAGAGTTTGGCGACAGTTAGCCCGCGTTTTGTGTAATACTCATTGCGGTCCAACGATGCCGATTCTAGTCCAGTGGTCAGAGTACGTCCCCAACCTCTCATATCCCATTGTTCTCCACTCGAGAAGTCAATATCCTTGAGGTGCGTCCCAATCTCTTACAGATCGCCGCATCTTTCAAGATTAATGACACTATATATTCCCTTGGTTAGTCTCAACGCATAGATCTCGCTTCGTTTGGTGCCGGTATCCAGGAATACTTGATCAGATGCTCGCCATCAGTCGTTAGAAAGCAAGTGTTTCCTCGCGAGTATATCGTGACGAGGCGCGCTACAGGCTAGGACAGGTTTTTCTTGACTCTTGATAATGTCAATCTCGCCTGAGCTTTACACGCCTGACTGTTCGAAAACACAAGATAAAAGTCGCTCTTATAAAGGCAGAATCCATGTGCAAAACGGCGCAGTGACTGCGCTTATAACATCTCGCGCACATGTCTCATAAACTAGTGCATTATATTAGGCTTATCTCAAGCTGGTCCATTTATCTCCTCTGCGACTCTTACTTCTCTCCATTAATAAATGTTGCTTTCAGGTAACACGATTTTCAATGAAAAGTCATGCTTTCGTGACTTCAGCCCTCCCTTGAGTGGCGTCGGGATCGTGGTGTAAGTAAACCTCCCTCGCACCTCCGGATGGTTTGGCGAACTTGCTACCACTGACTCGCCGCTGATCGGCTCCTCCGCATATTCAAGGAATTGGCTAAGGTAACGGTCATGTATGGCGTAGAACCAGCGTCGCATGGCTGCTTCGTCCATCTGATCAGAGAAAACGTTGTCTCTGCCACACTGTCCATTGTCCCGATAACTTTGCCAGTTGTGAGGGATGCGCAGGCTAAGCTCTCGAAATGAACTTTACAGAAGTTGCCAACAGATTTATATATGTTCCCTGTCAACTCTACTTTTAGGGCCTCGGTGAGGGAGGCAGTTTTTTTGTCGTAACCAACTGGCTCTGCGACATCCCGCATCAAATTGACATTTGAACCTTTTTATGGTCCGGCTAAAGTTTTAGGGTTTGTTGAAGTAGGTGAGATTTTTCGAGGGAGTGAGTCGGCTATGGAGATGACATCAGTCCAGATATTGCGCTTATTCCCTATACGTTTCTTTGGTCTTAACTTTGATCTGAAATGAGCCTTTTATATCAGAGTTTGTTGTGGACAGGTCATGACGGTAATAATTAGAATCATGTAAATATTGTGAAATACATGTAGTATTGTGTACCCCAGATTAGGGGAAAGAGTTAACAACAAGTATATAATCTGAAGACGCAAAAATTTATGAGCCATCGTATATTTTCTAATTGAATTGAGTTAGAACGGACAATGGGAATTTTGTAAGTGCCTTCAGAAGGTTCTTTAAATTGGAGAATGTTGCGTGATGGTGGTATTTAGTTTTTGCCATTGTCTGAGCTTGAATGGAAATTTTTGCTTTAAATTACGATTTGTGCTGGACACAGAGAGCGATAGACAATTATGAGCGCAATGGCTCTATTAGCCATGATGTCGATGTTGAGTCGCACGGGTAAATGCCGAAAATGCGCGTTTTTAGAGCCAACTTTGATTCTAGGAGACAGCCATTAGTCAGCAGATTTAAGGAGCATGCTGTTTACTTTCATTACCTGTTAATAATGACTTGAGATTACTTTTTCCTCAATACACTTTAATAAATCGACTGCATCACCGACTCGATCTCTGTTGTGGGTGATGTAGACAATAGATTGTGCATAACTAGTGGTGAAGGGGTTATGTTGGATGCTGGTAGGTGTTAGATTTTTTAGAAAGGATGTAATAGAGCGGCTACTTTATATTTGCAAAGACCGTAACACAAACTGATAATTATACGTCTACAGTGAATACCTATCAAAATTAATGGCTATCACATCCTGGAAAAGCCGAACTCCTTATGGCTAGCTCTGATGCAAACATCCGGTATGATTGCATATCCCGCATAGTGAGGAAGTGGCGCAGTAATCCCTTTCAAAATCCCTATCAACCACAAGATTATTGCCTTTTTCTCTCCATCCCCTCACCCTACTGTCCTACAAATAACTCTACCAAATTCCCTTGGGGTGATTCACACAGGGACCCCTAATCAAAAGGATCTAAGCGGAGGCTCCTTGGTTTGCGGTTGGCTGTATGAGTGTATGGGTTTTTGGTACTACTTGAGTCTATGACTATCTGACACATTGGGCTCCTCTATGGCCTGGGCTATACCTTGTACGATGCTCCTATCCTCTATTTTTTATTGAAAGACCTTTGATATATTGCCCGTGATAAGTAGCCATTCAAGTCGGTTTTCAACCGTGTAATTCAATCTCTTTTTCCATAGAGCCTTCCTTTGAATAAAAAGATAGCAGTAGAAACTGCGCGTGCGGGAATAGCCTCAAAAAACCTGCAGCCCCAGCTAGGCGTTGCCTAGATACCTGGACCACATGAGGTGCGTGATCTTTATCTTCCTTTGTAACATTCTAGGCCGACTTGATCCAATCCACCATCTCCGTATTGGGTGCTAGATACGCTCCGCAAACTGGTTGGATGTCTATTCCTCCATGAAGGAGGGTTGGTCACAAGAAAGGCTCCAATACTACCATCTGATCTGATGGTGGTATGCTTCATGATAATGGTGATAGGGGAATGTGTTGAGAGATGAACACGATACAGACCGCGAAAGCGATTTGGAATCCTCGTTGAAGCAATGACAGGGGTGATACTCAATCTCGGCTCTGCAGACTCTTCCTTGAAAGCTAGAGGTGCTCAGGGGATACCACTGACAGGTGTTTTGAATAGTCCCCCTAGGGGTGGTAGGTGAATGCCTTCAAGGCTTATTTCGGTTGCAGTTGCTGCTATCCGTTAGATGTAAGCACGGGAGAAATGGTAGAGGCTATCCCTTTGCATATTTCTTCGCCCCTTCACAACTGGATCATGGTTTGTACGTCTGTAGCCATGCAACCGGATATCGACATGCTGACTCAAACTTAGCTCCCTTGGAAAGTATACTCCGGCTACTTAATGCTGTGTCACGGAGCATCATGAAGCCCAGATATTCTACATACCGTGGTACCACGATTTCAAGTTTTTAGTGGATTTATATGGGGTGCATATTCGCTACAGGTGTTATACCCCTGTTAGCGCCGATTTCGACAGGGTACATAATTCTTGTCCTGTATTTCCAGGCCTAAACCGAGGGCACGATTTGATTTCATGCCACCCTCAGTTTTATGCAAATCCAACCCGTTCTCTAGTTCTTTCCCATTGCTTTGATGAGCGCCGACTACTTAAAAAAAATTACACAGCTTTTCTCACCATGTGCTTGAGTGAAGGACGAAGGCTAAACACCTGTCAGTGGTGTCCTCTATGAGCCTGGGAGTGAAATAATCTTCCAGAGCCGAGATTCAGTCACGACAAAGGGTGAATTTGAGAGTTTTCGTCGAGTTGGCAATTGGGAGGAGTGGTGTTGGCTCATTTTTGGTCGAAAATCCGACTTGCAGAGATTTCTCGACTGCACAACTCAACAAAATCAACCATCTACACCCCAGATACGAACCGCAGATAGATTGTAACCTGTCTGATGTTCGTATCACAACAACCGACACCTTCAAAATCTTATTTTCTTTTTCTCTGGAACATCACTCCTAGCCAAACTCATCTCACGGCCCTCTCCACAACCATCTCAACACTTACCGAAGCAAGCCCGTACCTCCAAAAGCCGAATCGCCAACTAAGAAGCAAGAGGATGTCTGACCCTCCGTAATTTCCAGTCGCTGTGAAGGTACGGTCGAAATACCGGCCTTAAATGCGTCCTCACCTTGGCCAAGGGCACCAATAACCCGACCTACGACGAATCGCCACCGACGAAATACGTACGGCATGTCGCCGGCACACCAGCTAGAGCGGTCGTCAAAGGCTGGGGCACCGGTGCCTCGGTCTTGAGCTCTCAGTCGCGTTTTCGACCTCCACGGTTAGGGGTACGGCAGCGACGGAGAAAGGCCGGAGGGATGGACATTTTACAAAGTTTCTGGGATAACGAGATCGGCTGAAGGGTAGAGGGATGCTGTATGAAGGAACTAAAAGGGGATACAAACTGAGGAGGCCTTGGTGGGCTACTGGATGAGGCCTCCAGTGAAGAAAACGACCCCTGGATGAGATGAGGAGATGCTGAGATGAACCAAAGCTGCGAATGAATCGAAGGAAAAAGTTACAGACGGCGAAGGTGTCAAGGGCTCGGGCGCGTGGTGGCCGAGGCTGAGGAGGAATTTGCGCTTCGGCGCGCCAAAAGGGGTTTCTCTGGATGGTTGGGCTTGACATGATTCAACACATGGGTGAAGTCTGAGGTGGTCCGGTCATTCAGGTGGAGCGTGGTAGATATACTTAATGGTAGTTAACCTGATCCAGCCCGGCCCCACCCTTGCTTAAGCTCCAGAAGGAGTGCAACGGGAATCACTTTACCTAGCAAGTAAATGAACAAGACAAGACAAGACCTTGTGCTTGAGTTACAATAAGAATTAGATTTCTCAAATACAAAGTTATTTATTCAGAAGACACATGGCTTTAATCGACAATAACCTTATTTTACAGATGAATTCACCTCAAACCCCACCTTCAACACCTCGAATCAAACAATTGTCCAGAGATCAAAACATTTTTGTAAGTAGAAAAATTAGATATGAACAAATATAAATTAAAAGAAAAATTAAGATTTATAGGCTTCATGAATCTAGCAAAAACCAGACGCAGATTGCCGCGCAACTAGGCATTTCTCGGGGACAAGTTAGTTATTCACTGCGCCACGGAACTGTCTCCCCCAAAAAGAGAAAAAGAATGTCCTCAAGGCTGAAAGCAGATGAAGTTGATCAGATTATATCTAACGTTGAGTCTTCACCTGTAAACCGCCGCAAAACATTTCTGGAACTCGCGTCTGGCCCCTTTAGACATATTGGTGTTAGCGAGCGGGTAGTACAAAGAGAACTTAAAAAAAAAGGATATCAGCGACATGAAGCTCATATAAAAGCCTTCAGCATCTCAGAAAATTATGAAGACACGCAGAGAATGG